ACTGCAGACTTTAGTAACTATAAGTAGAATGATATATAGTCTCGCATATAGCATCTATAGTTCAATCTATAGTCTATACATAGTCCAGCCAATAGATTCGACTTTAGTCTGAACTATTATCTACGTTGTATTCTCAACTATTGTCTAGTTTATAGTGTCGACTATATTTTAACTATTTGTTCCGCATACAGCTCTAATTCAGATTACATACAGTCTAGCCCATAGTTTCGATTATTGACTAGTCCATGGACTATAGTCTCTACTGTATTCTAGTGTATAGTTTCTATTATAGCCTAATCTGTAGTCTAGTCAATTGTGCTGACTATACTTTTTAGTCCTGATTATGGTCTAGTCTATAGTCTCGATTATATTTTAGTCTATAGTCTCTACTTCGCTACTATATCCTATGGTCTAGTTCGTATTTTCGACTGTAGTCTTTAGTCCCGACTATAATGTGGACTATAGATCCTACAATTGTCTAGTCTATAGTTCCAACTATAGCTTAGTCTACAAATTTGATTATAGTTTAGCCTGTAGTCTCGACTGTCCGCCTCGACTGATTGTCTAGTCTATATTCTAGTCATTAGACCCCATTGTAGTCTAGTCTAAAGTCCTGATCTCACCCCATTATAGTCTACAGTGCCGATTCCACTCCTTTCCAACTCTGTTAAATTTTATCTTTATGTTGTAGTTTATGAATTCGTGTATATTGTACGACCAATTAACCAAGTTTTTTTTTCACATTTTTTCGATTTCCTTACATCTCTTGGTGTTACGTGCCCAAAAGACAAACATACTCACACTTATAGGCCTTTAAAAACTTTATGATTACGATTGTTTGTATCTGCATGTGCAACTCACCTGTCAGCAATAAGAGCACCATAATATTCCTGCAGGCAATTATTTTCATTTTCCAATGGACATTGTCTGGACCAATATTTCGAAGGCTTTAGAAATCTATTCAAAATTGTTGAATCTTCTACTGCTGCGGCGGTGGCCAAGGGCATATTTTCTAATTCTCTGCGTTTAAGTTGTGGTATTGGAGGTTCTTGTATGTACTGATGATTATGAAGATGAGGTGGCGAGACAAAAATATCGTCAATCATTTGAGGGCTGGGGGACAACCATTCGCCGTCGTCGTCGTATACTTCGGCAGAGGAAAACTTGTGTGAAGGCAAATTTAAATTCAAATTTGTGGCTTCATTCATATTTGTGGCGGCGCTAGACAACGACAATGGCAAAGAAGATGATGCCAAAGACGATTTTGAAATGTTATTTTCATTTTTATTATTATTACGATTGTTGTTGTTGTTGTTGTTGCCATTTTTCTTATGACCAACATTGTCGTAGTTGTCGTTGTCGTGTGGCTTAAGGCCATTTTGATTTTGATTTTGGTTGTTTTTGTTAATTGTTGCCATGGGTTTTTGTTGCTGTAGTTGTTGCATTGCTGCAACATCGACGATATCATCATCAAAGGTATTACGCTCACGTTTTTGTAAATTTAAACTTAGATCGTCGTTGTTATGCCACAAATTCTTGAAATTTGTATATAAATCTGCTGCCAACACTGCCTCATTCGATTCTTCATCTTCATTGGCGGACAATTGTTGCTGCTGATATTGTTGTTGTTGGGTCTCATTGTCTTTAGCCAACGCAGAAGGTTTTTGAGTTTTTAGACTCTCGTCCAAGGATGCCGCATGAGCGATAAGTGATGGTGGTAAAGATAATACCGCCGCACATTTACAATAAATTGTTAGTCCAGCCAAAAATAACACAGCAAGCGTGATCTTCATGTTGGCCTTGTTAAGTTCTCAATTCTGTAAGCTACTCCAAAAGATGTTTGTGGTCTTCCTTTTAGACCCTCTCACACAAACACTAAACCAAGTTAAAAATAATGTGGAATGCTTTGTTAGCAGCTTAAGCTGCCTTAGCCCCCCAAAAAAAAGAAGTTACTTTGTTATATTTTTTTGCTCTTTTTAATGATCTTTTATAATTTTTTTTTCACTAACGCGGTTTCACGTTCTCTTTCGTTGTGCAATTTTCGTTTGAAACTGAAAGTTGTTTGCGAAATTTATGCCGTTTTTATAGCAATTTTTCATCTTTTTTTTCACCCAACTTCATCTAACTGACCACCCATATTGCCTTAAAGGTGATTCTCCATTTCAAATTCTACAATTTTATTTTTCTTAGTTTCCTTTTCTAGCAGCAGCAGTAGCTTTTCTTAAGATTTCAGTTGTTTTTTTTTTAATAATATTTATATAACATAAGATTCCTTTGGGGCTTTAAACTCTCTTTTGGTGGTCAGTAGTTAATATTGGGTTATAGGAATATTTGTCTATATATGACTCTATTGTGTTGGTTACTGGCCCATATGTTTGGTTTGGTTGTCGGCGCGTGAAATTAAAAAATTGCGTTTGTTACTTGTTACATTCATTATTTGTGGCAACAAATATTTATTATAAAATGTACTTTTCTTATTTTATGTATGTTGCTTATAAGGGTACATGGTTTCTACTATTTTTACCACACATTATGAGTTATTAAGATTGCATTCGTATGTTGTACAAGTTTTTGCATAGAATTACTACATCAATCATGCCACATTTGAAATGTCGTTTTAGTTTTGTGTCATAAATTGTATGAACAATGTTTGTCATATGATATTTATAAAGAATATTCTGTATTTTCAAAGGTCAGAGAAGTTTAACTTTCGAAATTTTAACTTAGTTTTCATCTAACAAGAAGTAGAAGTGTTGCCTTGTCTGCCTTATTTAACGCTGGACTTTTTCATCCACTGCCTGAGCTTATTAGACGATTCACCACCGCCGCATTGTGCTTTTATGCAGCCGGTGGCAGTTTTTGTACGTGGTTCAGAGGTCCATGTACAAGCACTTTCTTCAAGTGTTCGAGCTATCTTAAATCTGACCTGGAGACCGAAAGACGAATGCATTAAATAAGCCGAGGACTTGTTCTTACTCAAAGTGAACACACTGGTACGAAGAGAATAAACCCTGAACATACCCGGACAAGAAGGAAAATTCTACCTGTCATCTATGACCATTCAACCCTGCATACATCTCACTCATCCGACACACTCATTGAGAAATACATCTGAAACACTCACTCTAAGTATATGGATGAGATCCGCGTACCCAAACACACACTTCCAACGCTTAGTCTTATAGTCACTCCTCAGTAGGCAACCTACTGTCACGGCAATAGTACCGAACTTACCGTGTATCAGTCTTTTAACCAACATTTTCTTTCCGCGATTTTGGATCTCTCTAATAACTGGGATAAGACAAAAACCCCCACACTACGCTATGTGCTACCTGTTCCTTTGTAACCAGATTATAAGGAACCCTGGTTCCTTGACCCCAGGTCAAATTATTCCGGTCAAATTATTCTGTTCTGTTCTCGCCCTCGCGGCGACACTCATGAACAGTGAAATTTAAAGAAATAACATCTTCCATCCAGAAAACTTAACTGTCTTAATCTGTGAATACCTTGTAAATGTGCTGATCGGTTAGCATCCATTCTGAGCCGGAGGAACCTAGTGATCGTGCAAGTTTGCTCTTGTGACCAACAGACATGAGCTCTGCCATATATTTCAAAAATGTGATCTTAAATGGCCGAGAGGGGATCAAAACATGCATTACAATGTATTATAACCTCAAAATTAACAACATAGCTTGATAATCACTTATAACTTATATAATATTTGTTCAGAAATAAATTTAAAATTTATTTCGAATAAAAAAACCTAATTTCCCACTCATGCTTCCAATATAATTTCCCTAACTGCAAAAGCCTCTAATAAACTATAATTCCTTAATTTCTATTTAAATGGAAAAACATTTTTCCACATTTTCATTTACATTCATCTCTGTCTATAATAATTATGCAATCAGTAGCTTAAGAAAACCTTAGCACTTCCTCCTACACACTTAGCCCTCAGTCTCTATGTCTAACTGTCTGTCCGTCCGCTTCTTTTCCCAAAACACTTTAAATGCCTTTATTTAGAGACAAGGCATTGGTCGAAAAAAATCCTCATTGCTACCATGTTTACTCTTCACAAAATGTCTCAACATTAAGTATAATGCAAAAAAAAAATAAATTGAAAAGAGTAGAAAAAGATCGTGCAGCTTTAGCGGCTTTATCTTTTGATGGATGTAGCAGGATCTTAACTAAAGTCAACTAATGCGTTAAAAAACTTCAGTTAAAGTAGAGAGTTTCTTTTTTAGTTATTTGTTTGTTTGTTCCCCAGCATTTAGTTAGTTAAACCATATTGTGCAAAACTAAAGTATGATGATAAGAAGTAGGATTAGGAAAGAGTTAGTGGGTGCAGAGGCAAATAAAACATCATTTGTCCAATGTCATGTGAGAGCTAATTTATTGTCATTTGTGCAGGTTTTATTGTCAGTGTGAAAAAGAGAAGAAAATAATTAAATGAAAAAAGAAATGGAACAATGTTGAAGTTTATGTTTTTAAAATGAAGTAGAAGGACTTCTTTTGAATGAATATCACACTATTTCCTGAAACGTGATATGGAAATATAATGATTTGTAAAGAAAAAAAATTTTGTTTTTTATAATAAGTTAAAAAAAACTATTATTTAAAGAAGCAGAATTCTAAAAGTTTTCAAAGTCTAAAAGTATTGCTCATGATTCGATTTGGGCATTAGTGTCTAGACTCCAACTTAATTCCCACTAACTCTGCTAATTGTTGGAATGAAGCTTTAGAGCTTTTGAAGTTAAATTTAAGAAATAAATCAATTGTATTGTCGATATAAAGTAATGCAAAGAGTAATAAGTCAAATTACTAAGTAATTCATATAGAACGCTTTGATAACAATCTTGTTTATATTGTCTAGGATCAAGTGTAAATTTATATTGTGAGATTTCATATAAAAATGATCAAGAACTTTAAAACTCATGTTTTCTTTTACTATATTCCTTTTATAAACTTATTTCTTATTACTATATATTTTCTTATTTCAGCACGAAATCAATGAAGTTTTCGAATTACATAAGGCGCGACAAAAACAGCAACTGCAATCACCCCAAATGCTAGAAGGGAATGGTGAACAAAGACACCAGCAACAGTTGACTGTCGATAGTGTTAGAAATACATTGGACAATCAAATTGTAGACACAATAAAAGCAGCTGTCTCAAATGATGAATTATCTCGGTCTACAGAATCTGATAGTGGCTTTGACAGTGCCAGTTGTAGTGGTTGTACAGCAGCCTTAAACTCGACTACTACGACCAGTGCCACAAACAGTGGCAGCAACAAATTACCCTCTAGAGCTAAAATGACAACTATAGAAAATGAAAATGGCAATAACAATGATAAACAACAACAGCAGCAGACAGCAGTAGCAAATAAAAGTAAAAATAATCAAAAGAAGCCGACAAATACATCGTTGATCTGTTTGCAACAAGAAAACAAACAACAACAACAACAACGGCAACAAGATGATTCAACAACGTCATCGTCATTACCATTATCATCAAGTCTGACAGAAGATGCAGAAGTAGAGGCATCTTCTGTGTCATCAACTGCAGCAGCATCTTCGTCAACACTTAAGCGCCTTCGTAAACAATTGCAAATGAAATCAGCTGCAGAAGCTGCCACCGATGATGTAAATATGTGGGCAAACAAATTCTTGCGAGATTTGGACAACTTAATAGCATCTGATAAACCAACAACATCTTCATCGGGCTCTTCATCACCAACAGCAAACGTTGTCTACTGCTCATCACCATCGCCGTCATCATCGTCCACAACAACATCACCAATGTTATTGTCCGCTGCTGCCTCAGCCGTTATCCAAAGTCGTTATGGCAAGGGAGCCCATGATCGTAGTATCAACAGCAACAATAATAGTGGTACTGGTGGTGGTACCAACTATGATCACAATACTACTGCCTCATCGCCAACATCATCCACATCATCGTCATCTTCATCAACTGCAAATGGTATAGTTTTGCGACCAGAAAAACATGTAAGTAAATATTATTTTACTTTAGATTTTTTCTTATTTACCCTTTGTTCGTAACTTCTCCACATACCTTGGGCATACATATATGCATTAGTGCTGTTAATGTATTGAGTAGTGGGTATCGAGTATCGAGTATTTGCCCTATTTTTTGGGTACTCAATACTAAAAAGTAGTTACTCAATACTTTCAGACTTGTATATGGATTTAACTTATTTAAATTTAACGGCTATGATGTGAAAAAATACAGCTCTAAAATCTAATATAGACCATATCATTATTAGAAATGCAACTCTTAGCAATATCAAATCAATGTAAAAATAATTTAAACACTGCAATAATAGTTAAAAAGTTACAAATATTTATCGACGCTATCTAAAAAAATAAAATGTCTCAAAAGAGGTGTGATGTCTGGTCTAACTTTACTTAAAAAAAGGAAAAATTCCTCGTTTTTAATTTAAAATAAAACCGTTAAAAGTATCGAGTAGTATTGAGTACCCAAACGAAAAGTATTGAGTAGTATTGAGTAATCAAAAGTAGTAGAATATTACAGCACTAATATGCATATTTAGATCTAACTTAGGTCTGTATTGTTTGGACTTTTGTTTAAAGATCATTGCAGTCATTATGGATTTTGTTTTTGCATTTGAATTTTAAGGAGGATGTCTCATAAACTCAAATAAACTAAAGTTTGACTCTTTTTTATTTTTTGTATCTCTTTCTGTTGAACTTTGTGACTTGGTTTTCTTTTATTTGTTTCGATTGTCTTTATTAAGCGAGTGCATGTTTTGCCATAAAATATTGTTTAAAAATTAATGTTATTTATAAAAATTTATTTGTAATACAACTTTAGATTATTGTGTTACAATTGGAAAGTTTTGAGTTTTAATAAAGACATGTTATTTAGTTGTTGATAGATAAAAGAGATATTAATTTTGAAAAAGCATAAAGAGTAATGAATATAGTCCCTTGATAAACCAATTTGGGAAATTTCTAAATGAAGTATTTTTTTAAAAATAATAATAAATATATTGCGAACTAATCTAGATCATCCAAATGTATACGTTTAAGTCGCTTCTGGATGATATTTAGAAGATTTATATACATTTTACAAAATTGAAAAAGAATTGTTATGACCTGGAAGTATTCTTCTGGATGATAGTTAGAAAATACTTCGTATTTTACAAAAACAAATTACGTTGCATCGGAATTTGTATCTACTTTATGTGTACCTCTAAGTCTCTGCTTGATATCTGATACATAGAGGTCGCTTCCGTGAATAACTGTTCTTCCCAACGGAAGATCTTTCAAATGTATACTTTTAAGTCACTTCTGGATTATAATTAGAGGATTGTATACATTTTACAAAATAGTGAAATTGAATTTTTATGCCCTTTATGTATTTCCTTAACATCTTATGAATGATAGTTAGAAAAGACTATAAATTTTACAAAAACAAAATATACTTCTTGATGTTTGTTGTTTGCAAACATTTGAATGTCTTCTAGAAGTCACCTCTATGAGTCTCATACAGGGCGCTTCAAACAAAGAACTGTTCATCCTTCCGAAAGATCAAAATAAAGATATTTCGGCGATGAGACCATTTTTATCACTTTATCACATTGAAGATACTTTTACTAGATTTTCGCAATAAATATGTTTTGCCTTGTTTGTCATAACTTTTCGAAATTTGTCAAAAGTTTTGCAGAATTTAATTCCTTTAAAAATCCATAGATGTCGTATTCTATAATAGTAAATATCGAGGCATGTTACCGGCATATTTTAGTTCTTAAACCTCGATTTCCTAACTAGGCGCTTGGCAGGAAGTAACTTAAACGAACTTGTTTCGTTTTTGCGCAAGCCAGCAGTTCGTCAAAGAGTCGATGTATCCGAAAAAGACAGTGATTTCCACCAACCTTATTTGTCTTTCGTCACCTATGTACTCTTTGTAAACGAGAGTGAAGATAATCGTCACTTTAGTGTCCCATTTGTAAGCGACAGAGTGGACACTTAAAAAACAAACTTAAGCTTTTTGTCAGCCTCTTCGTAATCTATGGGCTTCCTCGTAGGACAAGCACATGTTAAAATAGGGCAGTCGATGGCTAGGGGTATTTCGGGACTGTTCGACCAAACTGCTGGAAACGTAAATATTTCCTTCTTATAAGTCATCAACTGTTCAACTTTTAGTTAAGTACGTCAATAAAAAAGTTCTCTAAGCAAATAAATCAAGAGTGATAAAATAATTTCATAATAATCCAAGATGACACTCACTACACACGTATTATAACAACTTTAAGAAAGCCTAAAGATAAAAAAGTGGCTAAAAAAATAAAACTTTAGAAAATTATAAATTAAATACTGAAAAACTTGTTGGTGTTGAAGCAATAAGACAACTAAAAAGATTATATATTCACACAAATTTACATATACTAGAATGAATGGGTGAGTACCAAAACATATGTGTTAACATATGTTTGATCTCACGTTTGGCTTAAAGGACGTCAACGTACGACAAGTATAAAAGACAAAAATTTAACGCTAAAGCGATCAAAAATAAACAAAAAAACTAACGAAAAATATAAAAGCACAAAAAACTCATATAACCTTTTAAGCGACCTCTTGACGAGAGACAAGCTTATGAACATACAGGCCAATAAATACAAACAGCGAAAAAAACTGAGCAACATCGCTTAACAAAAGCTGTGCTTGCTGCCAAGTAAGTCAGCAAACCAACTAGTCCTCCACCCAATCAGACTGCCTTAACCGCATTAACACAGACTTACTAGAAAAAATTTTTTTTTTTACAGCCCAACAACTCCTGTCTTAAGCAAAACTATATTGGATGTAGAATTTATGGTTATTTCATGAACAATTTCATAAATTGATATGCAAAAGTTTTGAAATAAAAAAAAAACAAATAGATTATAAAATATAAAATAAAATAAAGTTTATAAAGCGTTTATTGCTGATCCAGGCTAAAATATTTATGTAAATAATATTGAGTTTTCTGGTATATTACAAAAACAAAAAACTATAAACATTTTGTTGTCAGAAGTCATTCAGCGTTATAGTTTGTATATTTCTTTTGTCTCAATAACGATTTGGTCATTTCGCTTGGCCTGTGGTAATAAGAAACTTTTTTATGCAATATTATTTGAAAAAGTTGTGTCACCAAGAAATTTATAAAAAAAACTTTAATAATAGAATAGGTAATAGTAAAACATTGTAGGATTAATGACTAAAGAGCACCTTATAGTGATATTGTGTTATCTGTAAGTTAAGTAAATCTTCATCGAAAATCTTTAAAAAGTTATTCACAATTAAGTTTCAATTCCTTTTCGAAGTCAAATTCTCAAGAAGAATAGTTAATAGTAAAAATCTTCGTATTAATGACTAACAATGTTAACACAGGCCATCTGGCAACAATTATCAGGAAATCATTTTAAGTTGTAGTTCCCAAGCTGACATGAAAACTATATATTGAGTTAAGAATGGTTTATTACTCGAATAACAAAAGATTAACTTTATATAAAGTTTCATAGACGGACGCAAAACCATTCGAAGCAACGAGGGCCGAAACGGTGGGTAGAACCACAAATATCCTATGGGGTGGTCCTGACGAGAGCAGGACGAGAAGCCCCCTCAAAAGGTGCAAGTCTGAGGTTAGTGTGATGGTACGTATTTTGAGTGGACACGTGAAGAGGACATTGAAACTCTAGAACACTTTCTTTGACATTGTTATGCTTTCGTCGAAATTAGATCCAAATATCTTCAGGATATAACATACATCACGAACACTGATTAAAAAATTCCTTAGAATTACCTCTAGGAAACTGAATTTCTGAATATCGGATGAAAATTCCTTCACTATATAAGGTTTTTGTTTTTACCAACAAATATTTTCCATGAAAAGATTCGCACAATATGTCCGATAGTGGCCTAGTATACATACATATTATTCATTTGATGAACCAAAAAGTACTATTTAAGGAACCAAAAAGTACCATTTAAGGAACCAAAAAGTACCATAAGTTTTATCATTCATCAAATGAAAATTTATAAAATTTTAACTCAGTTTTGGTTCATTTTTTTTTTTTTTGCTTCTAAGTTATTTACCGAATTGGTCTGGTCCTTTCTGAACTTTATACGACATCAATACAGCATTAGATTTAACTTTGCGCCTAAAAGAATCAATGCATTTAAGTTTACGGGCTGCTTTTCTAATTGAAGTTTTTGGTGAACTTCCTAACAGTTGCTCGACTTATTTTGACTTATAAATATCTTCTACACCATTTTTCTTCCCGATTCAGGGTTTAATTTAATAGACAAGTCTTCTTCTTATACTGTTTAATATCTTCTGAAATTGTGTGGCGATAAATCTTCAGATCTTTTACGATTTTTATACAAGTCCATATTGGATTTTTGTGAAAATGTTTTTTCACGTACTTTTTTCTCGGAGTCCATTTTCACCGAAATACATAACAGTTGAAAATTTACGATTTAGAAAAGATAACATCTGACATATGGGCAATTCCATGAAAAGGTAAACAACGACAGAAAAAATAAAACCTTATAACTTCTGCATTTTTGAAGATAATTCAACAAAATTTGGTATATGATCTTTTGTAGCATCAAAGACGAAGACTGTTGAACATTTTTGAAATCGGTCTATTTTTACACCTCGCCGCCATACAAACGGAACCGAAAATATCACTTTTTAGCTCATAATTCTGTTAATTATAATACTATCCCTTCAAAAATCGGCAGATCTAAAATGTTTATAAGCCTAAACCTTTATGCAGATTTTCATAACGATTGGACCTCATTTGACCCTAGTTCCATTCAAAGTTTAATTTCAGAAAAACACTTAAACGTCCGTAACTCACCTCTAATCACTAGTATATGATAAAATTTGGCACAAATAAGTTTTATATGAATTAAAATCACACCCTAAAATTTTATGAGGATCGGTCCATATTTGACCCTAGTCGCCAGATTTTTATTTA